TTTCTTCATACCTGGATGGCTGCAACTTGTCATCTGGCAGTTCTTATTTTTGGTATTAGGCATGCAGTCTCGGCTTTGGGGAGTTTTCCAAGAAAACCATAGAAGTAATTTTCCTTGATCAAGCCAATTCCTTAGAAATATCCTATGGTATGCTCTCTGAAGGATATAAACCAGGAGACCATCATTTTGATGGCTGAGTGGGGAAGAATCTCAAGGTTCATTGTTGTTCCCTTTGTTCCAACGCGCATTTAGGGACCTCACCCCTAAACTCAGTTGCCTTGTTGTCTACAGACATGAGGCATTCTGTTTTAGCTTCACCAGAGGAAACCTTATTGTCTGCAGTTAGGGTAATGTTGCTGCTTGGTGGAGAGAATACTCTGAGCTTTCTCCCACTCTGCACACAGACTTTCAACCACTTCTGTCTCTCAGCCTTTCTTCTCATTGAAGTCCTCAAGGGTCCCTGGTACTCTGTTCATGTTGTGCTGAAGAGTTTTGAAAGGGAACAGGGATAGACCGTATTGACTAGGTTTACTGGTATGATTCTTAATATATGGAATTTTCTGAAGTCTTCCCAAACCTTTCATGTCATAACCTTTCAGTATGAATCTAAGACTTTGTACTTTTGAAAAAGTCCTCTAATGATTCTGATGACATCACACACAAATTATTATTCTGGCACTCTGATTGGCAGATATCTAACAGTTCTGTTTGAAGGCACAACAAACCAGGGATAAAGGAAACAGAACTGGTGAATTTTGAGAAAAGGACGGCCTAAGAAGGGCCAGACCTTGAATGATTCAGGAATGTTGGAAATCTCTCTCAAGCCTGAAGAGAAGACCAGAGAAACTAGGGAGCCAGCATTGATGCTTGGACATGCATACTCTGGCTAGGAGAGGTGATGGTGTGACTGTGTTCATGGATTTGATATTTCATCTTCAAACAGAAAATTTCCTCTTCCAACTCTACTTCATCTCTTTCATTCCCTCTTGTCCTTACAGAGAGTTGTAAAAATAAAAGAAGCTGTATAGACACTGTGAAAATCTGAAAATTGGAAAGCTAAAAACAATAAAATCCTGAAAGATAATTCAACACAAATCTGACATCCAGTAACGGTGCTTATTAAAACAAATGAATTTTAAAATCAAAGAAATTTATATCTACTGAAAGCAGGTATGACAGTATGCATGGAATGAAGATAGACATGATTTCCATAATGCAAATCTCATTGCAACCTTTATTTTAGGAGTGGTATGTGCAAGTGGCGTTGTATGAATTGTGGATTAGAGAGCAGAGTGTTACCTATCGAAAGAGTTGGCAGAGTGGATAAAGAGAGAAGAGACAAAGAAAATAGGAAGGGAAAAGTACAGGGATTATTGAGCTATGGTGGCACACTGCCAAGATCCTTCTGCAAGTCTATGAGAAACTTTTAAACTGGAAAATAAGGGAAGGGAAGAACTTTGTGAGGGATGGGTGCTGCTAGCCAAAGATACTAAGTAACTTTTAAAATAATCTTTTAGTAATTGTCTTGTTTGATGACAACATTATTATATTCATTTGCCCAGGTAAGAAACGTAATTACGAGAAAGAATAGTTAGCTATTTGGGAAAATGGAATATGTATTAAAGCGTTATCTATTTGTAGCCAGGCAACACTTTATCTTTCAAAAGTCATGGCAGTTTCCGGGGCAGATCTGTTAACAGCCAACAACACTCTTAAATCCAGTGCTTCAGCTTTAACCAAAATGCTTCTCTCTCCTAGCCCTGTAGAGTGGGCAATATTTTATGAAACCCATGGATTGCCCACATAGGAAATTATTTTCCTAAATTCTTTCCTATTCCACATTTACAAAGAGTAAGAGAAGTTGTACAGTATTTTTGAAATCAGGTGAAAAGTTATTTTTAGTGTTTTGTGATGCAAAGTGCCAGAGGGAAGAGTTTTAGACTGGGTTTGCTGTGAGTTTTCCCCTTAGTTTCACAAATACAACATAGCTTTTTGCCACATTCATTTACTTGAAAACATTCATTGAAAACGGTGCTTCTAGCATAATGCCTGGGCATATGGTAAACATTTCCATGTTTCTTGAGTGAACAGGTGAAAACTTGGAAGATAGCTGCTAAGAATGCATATTGTTTTTAAATACTTGGGTTAACAGGTGAAAACTTACACAAGTCTTCAAAATAGTTTCTTTTATTAAATTCTTCACTGGCTCACAGGTCATACGGTAGCATCATTTCGTTCAAGAAGGTTTCTTATTTTCTTTCTCATTTCTTCAGTGACACACTGGTCATTCAGTAGCATGCTATTTAACTTCATGGTGTTGCAAACTTTTAAACTTTCTTCCTGTTGTTAATTTTGTTTTATAGCTTTTCATTTAAGGGAATGTGTAGTAACTGTGTAATAGAGACTATCGTATCCAGATATGAAGATGCAATGCAGTATACATCTTCTACTTCCAAATCAAAAATAGACTCCCAATGAAACTGTTGGGTACATCTTGACAATAGGATGCTAAACTGTCTGTCATTGTTTGTATACGCAATGTTAGGATACACTTAAAAAGCAGAATGATGGACTTATGACCGCTTATGCAGGTTTATTCTATTGTAATAATATAGGGAAAATAGTGGGAGAGGGAATTTGAGGAGCGTATAAGGGAAATCCTGGAGCATGTGGAATTGTATTATAAAACAGAAAATGAAAAAACAACAAACAACCCACAAAGAATTGTACCCACAATAGTAGAACTCTCTACTGATGGACTCTCAGGTCAATGAATGTTTTTGTACTGCATGCCAGTAACAACTAACATTATTATATGTACACCATTGCTGATTCATCTACTGAATGATTTTTTCAGTGTCGGCAGTGAAAAAAATGATCATATTCTGCCTTTAGATACATGGATTCCTTAAGCAAATACACACTTAGATACACATCTATTCCAATACTCCATTTCACAATGTTTGTTTAAAACTTTAATGGCTAGCTTAAGTTCACCTACTATGTCTTTCCAAATTTTTGATTTCCCCTCTATAAGAAGAAAATCCTAAGGTTTTTTGGACAATTTAATTTTTATTTAATATGTTAAACACCTGGGCTTAGTTACTTTTTAACTATGAAATGCATCTTGAACATTAATTTCATCATTTCTATTAAAATTTACTTGTAATTCAATATTATCTACCTAAGATCATTTTGGAGAAATTAAAATTTACTTTCCTTAACTTCATGATGTCAATTCTCTTGACATAGGCATTTATGAGAAGTTAATATTAAGAACAAAATCTCCCAACTCAGAACTCCTCCCAAGAAGCAGCAAAAGAAAACAATTTACTGTCAAATAAGCACTAAATCTGAGGATGTGTATCAGCCAATTCACCAAGATTGCGGAGACAGAAATCCTGTCTTTTTTGTAAGGTTGAGCAGATGGGATCCATTACACACATGTTTTCAAGATAAACAATAACTAGCCCTCAAGCGAGAGAACTTGAGGGCACCATTTGTCACAGCACATTCGTCTTTCCCCAGTAGCTGGGGTGCTCACCTGAGTTCTGACAGGAGATAGTTTTGCACCTTGGAGCAAGATGCCCACAAAGTTGTACGTTCTAACTCTCACAGCAAATGGGAGTGAGGGTGCACAGCATTTCCAAGCAACTGCTCCCAGGTTTTTAGAAAGACATTCCTGGATCACAAAGATGACAAATGACCCATTCAGTCATCCCAAGGAGTTGTGTACATGCCACAGGGATGAGAAAATACTTCGCAATTACACATGCTCCGAGGCAAACACGGAGGGAAACCTCACCCTTCCATAGTCAACAGAGACAATTCAGCTTCTGCTTTTTTAAAAATTTGTCCTTACAGCACACTTTGGTTTCTTTGGCTTTGAAACTGCAGATAAAAGCAGTCCAACTTAAATCTTACGGTTTTTTTTTTTTTTTTTTTTCCTACGTGTAGGGCTGCTCGCTGTGGTCAAATAAATAACCCTGTAGAGAAAAGAACCACCCTGCTCTGGCACCCACTGAACTCAGACGTCTCTAAGGGGGAGGGTGCATGTGGGGTTGAAATCCGCTCCAGGCTAAGGCTGTGGTTCAACCAACGCACAAGATCTAATGCCTTAAAAAGGCTGCTCCAAGAGCAAGGACAGGTCAAGCCATCATCCTGTTAGAGACCCAATCACCCCGTTACAGACCCCCGGAACTCTGTCGGTTACAGACCGACCGACCTCTGGGCCAGTTCATGTCACTCATTTACCACCAAGTTCTTTTCGAGAAGGAAAGTTCCGCAAACAGATCTCTCTGGAAAAGCGCAGACCCGTCTGGTTTCTTGACGGGTTCTTGCCTGGACCTGCCATGTGCTCTCAACCGGTCACACCAACCTCTCAGGTCCCGCACTGAGCTGCTGAGGTGGTCGGGGGGGGGGGTGTCACAGGCATTGCTGAAAAACGAGCCCGAAAGGGACCCTATCACACCGGGTGCAAGCACAACGTGGACCACACAGAGGACAATAGATGACCAAGTCTGAGGCAGGAGTGTCTATCTGCGGGTCAGGGTCCGCGCCTCCGGGGCTGGCGGGCACCACGCCTCCGCCCCCTCACCTCCCACCCTGAGAATTCCTTTCCCGGGGCCGACGGGAGGGTAGTCTCTTCCAGGCGGCCCGGGCTTATCACCCACGGTCCGGCCACTTCCCGGTCACGGCCCGTCGAGCCTCCCCAAGTTTCCTGTGACGCCTCCGGGCCCCGGCTCACCGAGACAGCCCAGGACACCGCCAGGAGGACGGGACGCGCTCCCGGAGGCTCCGGGGTGGAGAGCCACACCAGCACACAGACCTCGGAACCACGCCCCAGCCAGGGAGCGGGCCAGAGGGCGGCGGCCTCCGTCCGCGCTCCTGCTCGCCGCGCCCGCGCTTGCGCCCACCCGGCCCCGAGGTCGAGCCCCGCCTCCTCCGGGGTCCGGGCCAAGCAGCCGCGCCCCGCCTCCTGGGAGGCCGGAGAGGAGGGGGTCGAGGAGCGGGCGGCAGCGCCCGCCTTCCGCTCTCGTCCATTGGATAAGGCTTCGTGGGTGCCCGGAGAACGGAGTGCGGCAGCATTGGCTGCAGTGGATCGTGGCAGCTGCGCCCATTGGCTGAGGCGGCCCCCGTGACGCGGGGTGGCGACCGGCTCCCCGGGTCTGAGGGGGCTCCTGCTTGTCAGGTTCTAGGTAGGTGCGTTTCGCGCCGCCGGCGGTAGGCGCTGTTGCCCGGGGCAACGCCAAGGGAGGTGGTGGTGTGGGGGGAGGAAGAGGAGGGAAGACGAGCGAGCGCGAAGCGGGGGCAGCTACCCCAACCCGCAGCGGGGTGTCCGGGATGCGGGGGGGTCCCCCCGGTGGCGGGGCTGCGCCCAGGGCTCTTCCTCCTCCTTGCAGCCCCGGGCTGAGGGGCCACCCGCCCATCCGTCTGTCCGCGGCCGAGCCTTCCCGCCTGGGCCCTGGACAGCCGGCCCCTCCCTCCCAGCACCCCGGGGACCCCGGAGGCTGAGGGGGCGGCTGCCGCGCGAGCCGAGCCGGCCGTGGCGGGCGCGCGGGGGGCTCCGCCCCGTCGCGGGGCCCGGGGGGCTGCGGGGGTGGAGGCCGCGGGCACCGCCCTCCTCGGCGGGGCGGCCCCCCACCGCAGCCTGGGGTGTCTCCCCCCGGCTTCCACCTCACCCCAATACCATCCTACATCGGGAAACCCGCCGTGACCTGCCCAGCCTCGTCCAGCTCTGGCCCCTCTCCGCCCCTCGTGCCTCCCACCTGGGGCAGGGGTGCGTGCCCCCCGCAGGCGGCTGCAGAGCCGGGCTCAGGTGTGTGAGGCGGGCACGGGGGCGTGGGAGATGTCTGGAGGCGCCTTCTGGCGAACTTGGTGCCTTCAGGTGTCCCTTTGGAGCTGCTTTCTGGAGCACGCTTAGGGGCAGGCTGGTCTTGGTAGGGCCCCTGCTTGCACAAATCGAGGGATTTCCCAGAAGTGGTCCTGTTTTTTTTTTTGCTTTGCACATATATGATGATTTGTTGAGGCTGGTAGCCTTTCGTTTCCGTTCACCGTATGGTAAACAAAATGAAACTTTTAACTTTTTAAAGTTTAATACAAGCTGCCCCTCTACGTGGTGGTCTATCAACTTTATAGAAACTGTCATTTTCCCCTTTTCTCCGGAAGTTTTAAAGAGACTGGTGTTTCTCATATGAAGTTATTATGTATAAAAAGTGTTGTAGAAAAATCCGCGTGAGTCAAGACCAAAATATTTTAATTACTGAAAAAATGTGAAATACAGTTCTATGGCATTATTGGTCTCCTGGTCTACCCCTGTGGCCTTTAGAAGTCATGTTTGTGAAGAGCTACGGTTTTTCAGTCAATGCGTAGTAAGATTGGGTGTGTCTGTTACAGTCCGGGAAGCTCTCCTGTTAGTACTCCTGATCCAAGAGGGCTGGGCTTCTAATGAGATGGGAGTATGTTAAGAGGGTGCTGGCAAGCCTGTGCAGGGTTCTCGTCGGAGAACTTTGGTGTTGAACTGCTTCTCTTGGCAGCATTAAATATGCACCATCCCACATTGCCCCAGTGGCCAGATAAGGCAGCTTCTGCCACACTTCAGAGAGACGTCATTAATCCCAAAGAAAGAACGCAGCCCGTTGGTAGACAGATTTCTTGTTTAACTGTTCCATAATTGTTCTGTAGCTGTGGTTGGATGGTGAACATTTCCCATTTGGTACCTTTTTCCTCCAATATTTTACTTTGAGAAATTCCAGATGGTGCAGCAAAGTGGCTGCACCTATCAGCTGAGTAAACAATAACATTGTGAAACCTGCTGTTGTAGCCCTTCAGGAATACTGAAACCGAACTGATCAAAAAGCAGACATCAACAGATAAAAAGGTAATACCAAAATATTGTAAGGAACCGGTTTCTGTTTAAAAATTTAATTACATGGCAACATTCAAAGCACACTTTTGAGTGAGCAGGAAGTTATCCCTGTTCTAAAGCCCAAAAGAAATAAATTGTATTTTGCTAATCTAGAAACGAAAAAAGGAGATCTAATGAACTTGCTGCATAAGTGGAAGTTCTGGTTTAAAATTGGGACTCCTGGGTTGTACTTGATTTATAACTAAGCATTTTCTTTTGGAGAGAATATTGATTTTGCACTGTTTTGGTAATATAAATGAATTAGATTAACCTTTTGTATGTTTTATGCGTTAACATTTTGTATTGGAGAAAGACTAACAGTTTTTTAGTAGAACTATTAAATTTTTAGAACTACTTCGTGGAGACAGTTTCAACTTAGTATTTTGATAAAACTTAGAATTGTCTTGAGTTTTCATGGTGTTGTTAAAGGTATCTTAAAGACCTGAATCTTTGGTTTATAGTACAGGAGTAATTGGAAATGAGTATACCCTAAAATACATATCTGTCTAATACCTATAATTTTTCCATATTTAGGAAATTCAGGCACTCAACAAGTGTTTTTCTGTTTAAGCGTATTTTCATCCTGTTTTTATGCTTAAATCGTTTACGTACTGATGTCTTAATATGGAAACTCAGAGCTGAGTCTCAGAATTGATAGATTTGTGTCTTATCACATTGTGGCTTTTCCATGCTTCATTTGCCTTTGTCATGTGTAGCGCTGGTTTATGTGCCATGCCACTGAGAAATGAAGAGTAGCAAGCAGGCATTGCTTTGGAAAATTCAGCTGATTTAGAGTCAATGAGATGTTTAGATTTTTTTTTTTTTTAATCTAAAGCTCCAGTTTTGCCTTGCCATCTCTCCTCCTCCTATTCCTAACATCTTTCCTTTCCTGTTTTTATTTGATTATAAAAGTTAAATGCTTTCAAACCGATTGGGAGTGCCCGGCGCAATAGCGTAGTGGTTAAAGTCCTCGCCTTCAGCGCGCCAGGATCCCATATGGGCGCTGGTGTGTATCCCGGCAGCCCCACTTCCATCCAGCTCCCTGCTTGTGGCCTGGGAAAGCAGTTGAGGATGGCCCAAAGCCTTGGGATCCTGCGCCCGTGTGGGAGACCTGGAAGAGTTCCTGGCTCCTGGCTTTGGATTGGCTCAGCTCTGGCCATTGTGGCAGCTTGGGGAGTGAACCATCGGAAAGAAGATCTTCCTCTCTGTCTCTCCTCCTCTCTGTGTATCCGCCTTTCCAATAAAAATAAATAAATCTTAAAAAAAATCGATTGGGAAAGACGTGGAGAATATAAATCACTGATAATCCCACTTATAATGAGTGTTTTGAAGAAAAATGAAAACTTCCATGACTTCTGTAACTCAAGCATCATTTTAATCTTAGGTTCTTCATTTCATTGTATCTGTATTCACACTTAAAGTTGTAGGAATTCCTGAATTCAGGGCTCAGTTATTCTGAATTACAATTGGAATCCCAGATCTGAGGAAAAAATGGAAATGAACAGAGGACAAATTAGGATTAGAACAAAGGGGCCAGCATGATAGTGTAATGGTTAAGGTCCTCACCTTTTGCCGGTTCTAATTCCGGCAGCCCCACTTCCCATCCAGCTCCCTGCTTGTGTCCTGGGAAAGCAGTCGAGGACAGCCCAAGGTATTGGGACCTTGCACCTGCATGGGAGACCCGGAAAGAAGTTCCTGGCTCCTGGCTTTGGATCGGTGCAGCACTGGCTGTTGCAGCCACTTGGGGAGTGAATCATGGGATGGAAGATCTTCCTCCCTGTCTCTCCTCCTCTCTGTACATCTGCCTTTCTAATAAAATAAATAAATCTTACCAAAAAACTGTTTAAGAATTAGGACAAAGGAATTACACTTAAGCACTCACTTTATAAGTATAATGTAATCCTGGATTACTATATGAAATTGCTATCTGGCTAACAAAATATCTCCCAAGATTTTCCTTTGGAATTCTATGTAGGGTCAAGCTAATTTATTGCCTGTTGGACAGAATGTTCAGATTTCTCCATTTTGGGAGCGTCATACATTCAGATCTAAACAATTTAATGCCATGCATGACTTGGAATTTTTTCTTAAGTAATAATATATAATAAAACTATGATTACTTCTCTTTCTACATCACCAGCATTCTAAATATGTTAGACGCTGTCTTTTTATTTAGTATATGTTAAGCATAAGACCTGAATTTTAGTGTAGGTTGTTTCCAGGTTACAAAGTGGAGTGGAAGGAAGAGCCGTTTGGTTTGGAGTCGGAAATCTGGGGTTCAGTAACAGTTCCTCTTCTGCGGCTTCTTGGGCAAGTTACTTAATGCCTTTAAATCATGGTTGCCTCATTTATTAAATTAGGGTAGTGAAATTGCCTCGTAAAGTTATCGCATGGAAGAAACAGCACAGCATAGTAACATGCTTTCTTCTAGGACGTAGTTAACTTCCATATTTGCTTTCTTACATGGTAGCATTTTATCTTTTCTTATATGAATGTGTTTATTTTGTCATCTTCATATTTCTTACATTTCAGACATAGAACCTTAAAGTGATGTAGATTTCAGTTTAATTGAATAACATTTGCATCTGTACAAGCTAAAATAACTAGAAATAAATTAACATTCTCAGATTACTGTATATAATAGGGCAAGGCATTTTTTGGGGGGGATAAAGATTTATGTATTTATTTTTTTTTATTGGCGAGTAAGATTTACAGAGAGAAGGAGAAACAGAAAAATCTTCTGCCTGCTGGTTTACTGCCCAAGTGGCTGCAGTGGCCAGAGCTGAGCCGATCCAAAGCCAGGGTCTAAGAATTTCTTTCAGGTCTCCCACATGGGTGCAGGGTCCCAAGGTTTTGGGTCAAACTTTACTGCATTCTCAGGCCACAAGCAGGGAGCTAGATGGGAAGTGGATCAGCCAGGATATGTACCAGTGACCATATGGGATCTCAGCGCGTGCAAGGCTACCGTGCTGGGCCCTTACTGTGTCTGATTGGGATAGTCAGGAGTTTACTTTAAATGAGTTTTAACTTTCCAGAGATTTGCAGTTTTTCTGGATTTCTGACTTATTTTTTTTTTTTTTCACCTTAGGTCATCATCAGGTGCTGGATGATTGCCTGAAATTCTTTTTGTTTAAGCTACCAGTGTTTGCTTAAAGTTGGTACAGAAAAACCAAATGTTACTTTCTTATATTTCTAACTAGTACTGCCCCTAGCTTGAGTCACAATGGCTTTTAATCTGTTTAAAACTTAAACTTTAGTTTTAAATGTGATGACATTCTTAGTTTTATGAAG